CACTCTGAATATCTATCAATGTATGTGAATGGGTCTCTGGCTCTTTAATTCTTTAGTACGCATGACCAAAAACATGTAATGAGTGTGTCTGTCTAAAAATATATTTTCACAAAAAAGGTGTACTTTTTTCCTGTCTTCTCTTGTCTGTGCCATAAAGGTAGTATATATATATTTTGAGGTGTTACAGTAGACACAGCCCTTTTGGACTTGTATTTTTAAGGGTCCATTTACACTCTTGCATTTTAATGTATACAAATATACATGTCTAGCTTCCTTACATCTCTATGCTGCTGTGCAGTGCGTTTTAAAACATACAACATGTCCAATTTTTTCTGCATTTTAGAACATTGGGAGGCCTTTACAAGACAATGGCTGCGCATGTAACAATCATTGTGATGCATTCGTAACAGGTATTAACTAATCTTGGTCAATGGCTGTTAACTCTATCTACTCCAAATACTATTCCGAAAAACCAACTGAAACCCAACTCAACCCAATAACACATGGGCTTATAGTAGCCCATGATACTGTAAGTTCCTACAAAAAGGATCATCAGGTGGGTTGCTACAGGCAAAATAGAGTTTCTATCTTCTTATACATGAGTCTGAATAGTTTTTTTTCTTTTTATTAGAGTTAAATACATTTACGTTACATTTGTATGTGCGTTTATAAAAGTAATAATGGAATGGAACTGTAATTAGGTTAGTTCTACTTCTTTCAGTTTGCTGTGAAAATAGAATGTTCCCCTTCAGAATCAATTAACTCATGGTGCTTTTCGACTAAGGAGCCACATAAAGGAAAGTCTGTGCGAAATACCACTTAGCTGTAGTTAATAGTTTATAATAACAGTTGGTGGCTTAAAAATGCTATGATAAATTATGCGACATTACTATATTATATTGTATTTGGCAGTGTCCAAAGTCTCAGGCTAAATGAATGGTATCCTTTGTCTATCGTGTTGTGCTGACTAACATGGCCAATACTGTAAAGCTTGTACAGCTTGCACAGACGTATGCATGCACATAAAAAAATAGAAGAAAATGATTAAAAAGTACCCATGGTGTGGGCTTATGTTGTATCAGGTACCTCTCAAATCATAAATGAACTGCCAGTACTTTTTATGGGCTCTTGCACTCAGCCATATCCTAGGTGTACAGACATACAAAGTAAAATACGCTTGTTGTTGTGGCGTCTGGGAGCCACAGCTATAGCGTATTTTGGCTTATAGAAATGAGTTGCAAAAATGCTGTATTATCACATTGGTTTGTGGAAACGTTTAATTAATCAGAACCTCATACTTTATAAGCTGACTTATGAGGCGAGAGGGTGTCCAGGGAAACTTATTAGACTCTGGGGACCCTTGCTGGACACACAAGACACCAGTGACTCTCTTCTACATTTGGGCTCTGACTTTTGGGACAACTACTAACATTATACCCTTCTCTTTCTTTTTCCTTACTCAACCTTTTATGATGCTGGGTGCCTGGTTGGACACACTGGGGTTTATTTACTAAAGCCGGAGAGTCCAAAATCAGACTCCCTTCTGCATAGAAACCAATCAGCTTCCAGGTTTCATTGCCAAAGCTTCATTGAACAAGCTGAGGTTAGAAGCTGATTGGTTTCTATGCAGAAGGGAGTCTGATTTTGGACTCTCCAGCTTTAGTAAATAAACCCCACTCAGTCTAATAACATACATGTGTGCAGATTGCTTATGTTTGATGCTTACTCTGTTGTGTTTTTTCTCTTTTTTGTTACTTGTTTAATGTAAGTTTTTTCTTCTTGGTTGATTTCTCTGATTGTGCCTATACATGGACGCACCTATTTCTTGCTGCTGTATTTGTGGAATTTATGGGCTTTGATACTCCAGAGCTGTGACAATTTCCTTTGTATACACTATTTGCTGGATAGTACTTTGCCATTGTATTGGTTTGACAAGTATAATTTGTATGTGCATTTTTTTTTTCAATAAACGAAGTTAAAAAAAAAACAACTGTATTACTAGTATACAGGATTTATATTGCACCAACAGTTTGTGTAGCACTTTCAATATAAAGGGAGACAGTACAGTACAGTACAATTACAATACAGTTCAGTACAGAAGGAATAGGAGGGTCCTGCTCATGGAGGCTACAATCTAAAAGGGGGAAGGTAGTACAAAAGGTAATAGCTGCTGTGGATGATCTGATGGAGATGGCTGAAGTACGGTTTTTAGGTGGAGGTGGGGTAGGCTTCCCTGAATAAATTTATTTTTGGGTATCACCTAAAGGTGGACAATGTAGGAGCTAACCAGACATACTGGGGTAGGGAGTTCCAGCGGATGGGAGAGGTTCTGGAGACGTCTTGAAGGCTAGCATGGGAGAAGGTAACAAGGGAGCTAGAGAGCAAGAGGTTTTGGGAGGAAAGGAAGTGAGCAGTGACAATGAGAGCCCCAGTGCAGGACAGATCACATGTATGGAGGAAGCCTACTTGAGCCAGGAATAAGGTATTACACCTTACTGTTGCACTCCTAGAATAGACCAGCATGTAACTCTTGCAGTGTGTGTGTGTGTATTTACTTATCTCTATATGATCTGTCCCCAGTAACCCCTTACAAATCCATGCTGAGGGTTACCTGTGACCTTGACCCACTTCTTCCATTTCAGGGTGGCAAATAACTATATATATTATATTACAGGTATAATATATGCAAATATTATGGTGCATTGTTAGGATGTCTTGTATTTACAGATAATACACACCTACAGTATTAGTATGTTTATTGCATTCTATGCTTGAAGGTAAAAAACCTTCTGTGTGCAGCAGTACCCCTAGTCCCCTCAATACTTACCTGAGCCCCATTGCGACCCATTGATGTGCACAACAGCCTCGGCTGTCCTGGGTCTCTGCCTCCTTATTGACTGAGACAGTAAGCTGGAGCCATTGGCTCCCGCTGCTGTCAATCACAGCCGGTCATCCAATGAGGAGAGAGAGGGGCGGGGACCAAGCTGTGGATCTGTGTGTGAATGGACACACAGAGCAGTGGCTTGGGAAAAGCCTGCTTGGGTGCCCCCATTGTGATCCATTGATGTGCACAACAGCCTTGTCTGTCCTGAGTCTCTGCCTCCTCATTGGCTGAGACAGTAAGCTGGAGCCATTGGCTCCTGCTGCTGTCAATCACAGCCAGTCAGCCAATTAGGAGAGAGAGGGGCAGGGCCAAGCTGCAGCTCTGTGTGTGAATGGACACACGGAGCAGTGGCTTGGGAATAGCCTGCTTGGGTGCCCCCATTAAGACCCATTGATGTGCACAATAGCATCAGCTGTCCCATGTCTCTGCCTCTTCATTGGCTGAGACAGCAAGCTGGAGCCATTGGCTCCCACTGCTGTCAATCACAGCCAGTCAGCCAGTGTGGGGAGAGAGGGGTGGGGGCCAAGCTACAGCTCTGTGTGTGAATGGACACATGAAGAAGCGGCTTGGGAAAAGCCTGCTTGAGTGCCCTCATTTTGACCCATTGATGTGCACAATAGCCTTGGCTATCCCGGGTCTCTGCCTCCTCACTGACTAAGACAGCAAGCGGGAGCCATTGGCTCCCACTGCTGTCAATCGCAGCCAGTCAACCAATGAGGAGAGAAAGGGTGGGGCCAAGCCATGGCTCCGTGTGTGAATGGACACATTTGGAGCAGTAGCTTGGGAACAGCCTGCTTGGGTACCCCCATAGCAAGCTGCTTGCTATGGGAGCACCCAACAGAAAGGAGGAGCCAGGAGCATTGGCAGGGGACCAGAGAAGAGGAGGATCCCGGGCTGCTTGTGCAAAACCACTGCACACAGCAGCTAACATGTCTGTTATTTTACAAAAAAAAGAGGACCTTTAGCATCGCTTTAAAGATCCTATACATTAATTGATTGCCCCCATACTGTACATACTTACTCTTATAATGTGTATTTGTAGACTTTCTAGAATAAGCCTGTCTGCTCTGGAACATTTATATAAAGCAAATATAGGTGTATTGAACTTACCAATGAAGTTATCACATCAAACTAAGGTGGCTTAACTGAATGTATAGAATAAAAATCAAGGTCAGTTTGGTCTCAGTTTTTACTAATGTATACCTGTTAACATATATTTTTGGAGCCTCTAAATTCTGATCAATCTTTGTGGTCTCTGGTCCCCTCCTTTTTAATCCCCTTTTGTGTCCTCCTGAGGGTAACTGGGCTTGGATGTTTGGTTTGCCTGGCACACAGTTCAACACACATGTAAGTGACCTTCATATCAGCGTACTCACATGATGGAGGTATGTTACAAATATTAGATCTACCTTGTGATCTTAATATCTTTAGATACAAATTTCCTGGTGGAGCAGCTTTGGAGATCTGAGAAACATGAAGAAACTGGCCTCATCATCACAACCAGCTTAAGATACCAGAGACAATCATCTTGCTGTATATATTTAGGCATTTAAAGTGCTGATTGGTGGAGTATTGAGGGTATTATGTAGAAGTTGTTATTATTTTATCCTGTCATCGCTGGTATTTAGCAGCAGTTGTGAATGACATGTCAAGCACCCTTTTTTTCATTTTTGATTTTTTTACAGTATATTGGCATGATTGTAACTATATAAAGAGTGTTTTTATAAATTATTATAATATGCATCATATATCCATGTAGCGCTCAAAAAAAATCCCAAAAAATGTTTTTTCTTAGTTTTTGTTATAAAATTTTGTAAATAAGTGATGTTTCTCCTTCACTGATGTGCGCTAATGAGGCTGCAGTGATGGGCAATGATAGGCTGCACTGATGGACACTGATAGGTGGCACTGGGATGGGCACTGATGAGGAGGCACTGATAGGCGGCACTGACTGGCACTGATAGGCGGCACTACTGGCACTGTTAGGTGGCACTGACTGGCACTGTTAGGCGCCAATGATAGGCAGCACTGACGGGCACTGATAGGCGGCACTGATGCACACTGATAGGTGGCACTGACTGGCACTGATAGGCGGCACTGATTGGCAGCACTGATAGGTGGCACTGATAGGTGGCACTGATTGGCATTGCTAGGTGGCACTGACTGGCACTGATGGATGGCACTGAAAGGCAGCTCAGATGGGCATTAATATGTGGCATTGATGTGGCACTGATGGGCACTGGCAGGTGGCATGAATGAGCACTGACAGCTGGCACTGATGGACACTGACAGGTGGCACTGCTGGGGCTACACTGATCATCAGGGCACACTGATCATCAGTGCCCTGATCATCAGTGCACATGTTCCCTCCGAGGAATGCCGATTACCGGCTCTCCTCTCCTCTCCAGCTGACAGCATGACAGCTCGTGAGAAGAGAAATGCCGATAACCGGCATTTCCCTGATTATATGCCATCAGCTGTGATTGGACACAGCTGATCACATGACCGAGCCGACATCTTCAGCTCTTTCCATGGATCGGTGATCCGCTGTGTCCGAGGGACACAGCGCACCGCCGACCGCCGCGCTGCACGCTCCCGGAGCCACGCATGCACGGTGAGCATGGGAGGACGTCATATGATGTCCTCCCAGAATGAGAGAACCGCCTTGCGTCTGTCATTGGACTATATGGCGGACGGGAGGCGGTTAAAGACTTACAGTGTTGCTAAGCCCACAACAGTAAAATCAGTCTGTATATGCAGTAAAGTATGCTTGTACTATTCACTGTGGAACCTAAGGGGTTAATCCTCTGCAATGTGTAAAAAGGCTGTTTGATCCTGTTTGCTCTGATCCTCCCCTTCTTCCACAGTCCCCAATCCATTTGCTGATAGTACAGAGCCCTAGGACGCACTTGATCAGTTTGGCGTGTTTTGCTAGAGAGTTATTTTTTCTTTGGGAAGGTGCATGTGATCAGCACAGGGCCAATACGAACTGTCCAAGCAGAGGGTCAGGGATCATGCAGCCTCATAGGACAGTCATAAGAGAATTAAACTCCTCCTACAAGCTTTAACCAGTGCTCGGTGGGACATGACTGCTATATACTGTTGAGGAGAAAAGGTATTTAGCTGCTTATATTTACTAAAATAATTGCATCTCCATGTTCCTTGTAACTTTAAAAATACTTGTTCCAGCTGAAAAACAAAAACTTAAAGCAAAGCATCATCCAAAAGGGGAAGTTCTGCTTTTCCTCCTACTCCCCCTCCTCTTCCATATTTGGAATTTTTTTTGGTGGGGGGCGGATACCTGACTTTGACAGATACCTACTCCCACTCCAACTGCCTAGGTAACCGGAGCAGAAGTTCACCCCCCCCCCTTCCCCCACAGCTTCTTGGGATACGTTACAGGGCCCAGGAGACAGCGGAAACATTCCCGGGGAGTACACAGTTAAAGTGGAGTTCCACTCACTCTGTAAAAAAAATAAAAGTCAGCAGCTACAAAAACTGTAGCTGCTGACTTTTTAAAAAAAACAGTCACTCACCTGTCCCAAGATCCCGTGTTGCCCCCGCCACAGACCATTTCACTGGCTGTCCTGCATTGCAGGTGCCGGCATCTTCAGTGACAGCTTGCGGCTTCACAGCTGGGTTCCCACTGCACATGTGCGAGTAGCGCTGTGCTTTCTGAATGGCCCCGACGTCTTCTGGGACCAGGGACTTTGGGGAGGGGGGTAGTAGGAGGACAACTTCCGCTTTCTGATCGCCTAGGCAATCACAGCAGAAGTGGGAGTGGGTACCTATCGGGTACCCGCCCCCCCCCCATGCGCTCCCCAAAGGTGCCAATCCTTAATGGGAAGCGGGGACCAATCTTTAAAGCGGAATTTCCCCTTTTGGGTGGAACTCCGCTTTGAGATGCTAATGCCTGGACCCAAAAACAGACAAAGAGCCGTGTCGGGTGCAGACAACGCTGGATCCTGGGACAGGTGAGTGTGTACTACAGTATTTTTAGCTGCTGACTTTTAAATGTTTTTTTTACAAGGTGAAGATCCTCTTTAAAGTATATGTTCAGCCAATGCTTTTTTTTTAGTACTGTAGGGAAAGCTACAACTCTTGTCAGCATTTTATTTCTGACAGCCACCAGTATTCCAAAATATTCCTTTCACTGATTTTGAAAACAATAAATCAGTGAAAGGAGGGTCCATTTTAAAGTGCATAATTGTATAGTGCAAACAAGCTGTGTAAAAATGTGCAAGAAAGTCCAAAAAGACACATACCCACCACATGTCTCCACATGTCCTTGCATTCTCTTGCATGTTTAGACACTTTTAGTTAGCAGTTTACAGCTATGTAATTTAAAAAGGAACCGCAATAAATAGCATTTTTAAAGTTCACCAATGTGGTGTGCTGGCTTTGCCATTGAATGACCTACACAATGGTATCACTGTTGGCAGTGGGTACTCACTTGCAGCCCACTCATTTGATTTTTATTTTGTAACCCTGCTTGATTCCTCAGACCCTTAGTTTTAAATCACATCAGTAACTGAAACTTTCTGCTGGCATTTTTTACATCAAACTTGCTGAAGCAAGGAGCTTACAAGCAGGTGCTTTCCAAGGCACATACAGAGATTGGAGTGACAAAGAGATGAGCTTATCAGTCTGCTGCTTTACCCTCACTGTCCAATGACAGGCTGGGGACAGGGAAAGACCTGTAAGTGGTACTTATTTGCTGCAGAAAAAATTCAGGTCTCCAAGGTGTTGGAGCTGCCTGGCAGGGCCATATAAACCTCACAAATAAATGGAAAAAAAATACAAATCCTTTGGTATGTAAATCTGTTCTGGTATATGAATTTAATCTGTGTATTTGGCTATTTGCCTAGAGTTTATCTTTACTGAAAGTTGAACTCTAGTAAACTTAAAAACCCTCCCTGTGTCTTCACTGCAAGGGTTAACTGATCCATTCTATCTAAGAGATTTAGTAAAGCACTTTTACTCACTCGATCCTCTGCTACTGCAGGTTCTTCTGTGCTGCTAGACTGGTTCCTGCAGCCTCTTCCCCCCTATGTCCTAGTGGTCTAAGGTCTTCTGACATTATCAAGACTGATGCAGGAAGCATAGCCCTGCATTGGCTGTGAGGACAGTCAACCTTTGGAGAATGGGGGAGCGCTGTCTGCTGAGAGAGGATCAGATAAGTAAAACTGCTTTACTGTCCCCTAAACATAAATGTATTTATTTCAGGTACTTATATAGCGCTGTCAATTTACACAGCACTTTACACATATATATTGAACATTCACATCAGTCCCTAACCCTCAAAGGGTGTACAATCTAAGGTCCCTAACTTACATTCATATTAGGGCCAATTTAGACAGGATCCAATTAACCTACCAGCATGTCTTTGGAGTGTGTGAGGAAGCCGGAGGAAACCCATGAAAGCACAGGGAGAACATGCAAACTCCATGCAGGAGGTGCCATGGTCGGGAATCGAACCTATTTACTGCAAGGCAGACGTGCTAACCACTAAGCCACTGTGCCGCCCTTATGAGCAGTTAGCCCTTGCATTGCAAGCGTAGCTCTACTGCAAGGGAAGGTTTTTAGGTTTCTTGAAGTTCAGCTTTAATAGACTAATGGAATATTCTACCCAGACATGGCTCTATTGCCTGATATTAGATTAAAGAAGACATTATTCGAGAATATGAGCTGAATACTACATGCGCCTGTTAATTCTATTCACACAAGATCTATAGCTGGCTTTAGACACTGGATGGGGTGGTTGTACATGGAAGCACAATCTGACTTCCATCAGCTATCTGTATTTAGGTTCCTGAGGTTACGTTAGGTAGGTTGTCTTACAAACACCTCTGATGTGGTCATATCAGGGAGAAAATGACAATGTTTAGACACAATAGTTTTCAGGGGTGTGATCATTATCTCCTCCAAGATTCTACTGTAGAGCAGGTACCTTATACATAACAGGCATTTACCTGATCCAGCCAGAAAGGGCCAAAATTGGAGGTTGTAACCTAGTGACTATAGGCCTTACTTTAGTAAGATATCTTAACCCGCTTCTGCACCACCCTATAGCAGAAATACTGCCACAGGGCGGCATGTGTGTGAAAAATCATGTATATAGATGTCATTTTGCAGTTCCAGGTAGGGGGCATGCACACACTGCGCCATTTGCAGCCTCGGCTATCAATCACTGGGTCCCGGCAGGTGATTCCCCGTCAGCACCCGGTGATATCTGTGTATTACCGATGGGGGAGAGACCCATATGTAAACAATACAGATCTCTCCTCTGTCAGCTCCTGCACACTACTTTGTATGGCTCTGCATAGCAGAGCCATACAAAGCAGTGTGCTTACAGTGTAAAGCACACACAGCCCACATAGTAAAACAGCACACAGCTCACAGTTAACCCTTTGATAGCCCCATATATTAACCCCTTCCTGCCCAGTGCCATTAGTACAGTGCCAGTGCTTTTTATTAGCAATGATCAGTGTATTGGTGTCACTGGGGATGTCAGTGACACCAAGTCAGTCCCCTCCAGTGTCAGAATGCTCGCTGCAGTCCCGCTATAAGTTGCTGATCGCTGCCATTACTAGTAAAAAAAATTAAATAAATAAAATTTCAGTATATATACCGCCATTAGTAAATGCTATAACTTTCACGTAAACAAATTAATTGGGATTTTTTTTTAGCAAAGACACATAGCAGAATAAGTTTTAACCTTAACCACTTGCCTACCAGGCACTTATACCCCCTTATTTACCAGGCCAATTTTCATCTTTCAGCGCTGCCGCACTTTGATTGACAATTGCGCGGTCATGCAACATTGTACCCATATGAAATTTTGATCATTTTTTTCTCACAAATAGAGCTTTCTTTTGGTGGTATTTAATCGCCACTGGGCGCTTTACTTTTTGCGCTATAAATTAAAAAAGTGCAAAAAATTGGAAAAAAAAAAAAAAGTTTCTTTGTTTCTATTATAAAATTTTTCAAACAGGTATTTTTTCTCCTTCACTGATGTGCGTTGATGAGGCAGCACTGATGGGCACTGATAGGTGGCACTGATGGGCACTGATAGGCAGCACTAAAGGGCACTGATAGGCAGTACTAATGAGGTGGCACGGATAGGCGGCACTGATAGACAGCACTAATGAGGTGTCACGGAGAGGCGGCACTAATATGCAGCACTGATAGGCGGCACTGATAGGTGACACTGATGATGGGTACTGATAGACGGCACTGACTGGCACAACCCCTGGGCACTGACTGGTGGCACTGACTGGCAGCACTGCTGGGCTGCACTGGTGGGTGGCACTGGTGGGCAGCACTGGTGAGTGGGCACAGGTGGGTGGCACTGGTGGGCACAGGTGGGTGGGCACAGGTGGGTGGCACTGCTGGGCACAGGTAGGTGGCACTTCTGGGCACAGGTGTGTGACACTGCAGAGTGGCACAGGTGGGTGCACTGCTGGGCACAGGTGGGTGCACTGCTGGGCACAGGTGGGTGAGCTGCTGGGCACAGGTGGGCAGAGCTAGTGGGCGCACTGCTGGGCACAGGTGGGCGGAACTTGCGGGTGGCATTGCTGGGCACCGATCATCAGGGCACTGATCATCAGTGCCCTGATGATCGGTGCCGATCCCCGCTCTGACAACTGCCGGTTCTCGGCAGTACTTACCTCACGATCTGACAGTGTGAGGAAAGTGCAGCCGAGAACCAGCACTTGCATTTCCCTGTGATCAGCGTGTCATTGGACACAGCTGATCACGTGGTAAAAGGCCGGTATGATTGGCCTTTTACCACATCACGTGATCAGCTGTGTCCTTAGGACACAGCGATCACAGAGATCGCCGGGTGCGCGCCCCCTGGGGCGCGCAGGAGAGCGCGTTCTGGGAGGACGTCATATGACGTCCACTCAGAACTGGCCGGCCGCAGTTTAGCCGTCATTCGGCTATCTGCGGTCGGCAACTAGTTAATTTATGATGAAATTTGATTTTTTAAATTTTTTTACTGGACATGTTTAATAGCAAAAAGTCAAAAATATATTTGTTTTTCCAAAATTGTCGTCCTTTTTTTTGCTTATTGCGCAAAAAAATTTAAAACGCACAGGTGATCAAACGCCACAGAAAGAGAGCTCTATTTGTGGGAAAAAAGGATGTACATTTCATTTGGGTGCAGCGTTGCATGACCGCGCAATTGTCAGTTAAAATAACGCAGCACCGTGTCGCAAAAAAATGGCCTGGTCAGGAAGGGGGGTAAATCCTCTGGAGGGCAAGGGGTTAAATTGCAAGAATATTTCTTTGAGCTCTAAAGGATTACTTGATATTCTTAAAAAATCAATAAATACATAAATAAAACTCCAAAACACAAACACCTTTCGGTTTAGATGAGTGGTAACAATTGCAGAGTGCAGAGATCAAGCTTAGAAGTTGTTTCATGCTATCGAAAACTGCTCTCTCTAGTGGTATCTTTAGGTAATGCAGATGGGTGCTGGGCCCTTCATGCAGATTGGAATTACAGATTTATTTAGAACTACCATATCGCTTATTTACATCAAGATCAAATTGTTAGAGAACAGACTAAAAGAGTGTAGACATTTTAGATTTATGCAGCCATTGCGGATTAATCAGAGTTGAAAATCAGCAGTTTTGCTTCCTTCTCTCTAGACTGACTGAAAGAAAGCTGAGTCAGGAGCTCCTAAATCTTTTGCGTCTAAATACTGTAAATCAGGGGTGTCCAACCTTTTGACTTTCCTGGGCCATATTGGAAGAATTGCCTTGAGTCACACACAGAGTACATTAACAATAAGGATAGCTGATGGGCAGAAAAAGTCGGGCAGATCACAAATTAACAAGCACTTATATAAATAATGTACCTATCTGAGCAATATAATTTCATTTTTAAAAAAATATTTTTATTATAAAAGTAAAAGAGGGCAAAATAAAACGAGTGTGATATTTTACACTTTTTGATAAACAAACACATCAATATCTGGTTTGATGGATGTAGTAGCAATTCTCAATTAATTCTCAAGGTGCTCATCAGATATTTTGGTTCTAGTTTTGCCCTTCATGTGCTTCATCCTTGAAAAATAGTTGCTCACAAATATAAGTGCTGCTGAAGACTGATGGTATGAATAAGGCGTGATTGTGAAGATGTGAAGAGTGGAGATTTTTCTATGGGAAGATAAAACGTATGAAAATCCAGTAAAGAGATACTGTCAAATTTGTCTTCTTCCGCATGTGTGCGCTAAATGTAAATGCATTTTTACAAAAAATTTCCCCAAAAATCGAAATTTTTAAATAAGTTTACGATTTTGTATTGGGCCACATTTATAGCTGTCTTGGGCTGCATGTGGCCCATTGGTGCAGGTTGGACACCCTTGCTGTAAATAATGATCTAAAGGTCTGAACTCAAAGTGAATTTCATTTACCACCGTAACTGGTTAAGAGAGAATATCACCCAAAATAGAGTAGCTTTGAAAAGGGTTCATTTAATCTCTTCAAGCAAGTGAATAGAATAGAGATCCACCTTTCATTTTGTTGCAGATGATGTATGGGATTAAAGTGGTTCTAAAGCCAGAAGACTTTTTTTGTACAGGAATTTTTTAAAATAGCAAACATGTCAAACTTACCTGCTCTGTGTAATAGTTTTGTACTGACCATCCCTGATCCTCCTCTCCTCTGGTCTTCTTCCTGCACGCTTTGCCCCTCCCCCCTGCTGGGCACCCCCATTACAAGCTGCTTGCTTTGGGGTCACTAGTGTGTGCTATATCCCAAGCCCTGCTCTCTTTGTCCATAAGACACAGAAAGTGTGATCCAGCCCAGCCCCCCAACTTCCTCAGTGTGCATCTATTGACACACAGTGCTGCTCAGCCCTACCCCCTGCTTCCTCCTCACAGCATTTGATTGACAGCAGCAATGCCAATGACTCCCCCTGCTGTGTCTGAGGCAATGAGGAGGGAGAGACCCGGGAGAGCCACTACTCTCGAACACAGCCCTGGATTGAGATTGGGCTCAGGTAAGTATTGAAGGAGGACTAGAGCTGCATTCTGAAGATTTTTTACCTTCATGCATAAAAGCCCCCTCCAGTTATTTACCTGAGTCCTGGATTGATCCAGTGCTCTCTCTCTTTTCCCTCAGACAGGATCAGAGACAACAGTGGAAGCTATTGGCTGCTGCTGCTGTTAGGCAAATGCTGTGAGAAGGAAGCAAGAGACAGAGCAGAGCAGCGCGTTGTGTGTGTCATGTCAATAGATGCACACTGCCCGACTCAGGAGCAAGCCCACAGGTGTGCCACTATAGGAAGCGGTTTCTTATGGTGGCGTACCGAGAGGAGGAGAAGCCGAGAGTGGCAGTGGGAGACCCTAGAAGAGGAGGTTCAGGAGGCTTTATGCAATATCATTGCACAGAGCAGGTAGGTATAACATGTTTGTTATTTAAAAAAATATATATATTCCTTTACAATCTCTTTAAGAAACAAAATTACTTACCACCTCTGTAACAAAAACCACACTTTATTTGATTAGGACTTTAAATTTCACTTTCATTTCTTTTAATATGTTCTGTTTCCCAGGTGACAAGGTACATGTAGTACTCAGGGCCAGTGCTAGACTATTTTGCACCCTAGACAAGATGGCAAGACAAGCTACTTGTGCTCCCCTCCCAAAAGAAATGTAAAAAAAACAGCAGAAAATATTAAATCAACAAAACATGAAATGTCTACATTTCTTTATTCTTTAAATTTGAAAAAATAAGTGCCATAAGATGCCACCAGCACCAATATTAAAGACAAAATCAGTGTCATGGACAGACTGTTTCTGTGGCTGGCAGTGGCAGGGTGACAGTTGCAGTGAGTGGAGGATGATGGATCCACACTCTGACAGATCCCAGGCTGGAATTCCCCAGGCAATGGGGGGAGATAAAACTCTGTGACAGCAGGCAGCCCAGTCAACACACCCACACAGAGAACACCTGAACTGAGCGATCCCACACAGTGACAGATACGACACAACACACCACCACCAACACTGACACAGATCAGCAGGCCCAGCAGGCACTACAAGAGCAGGCTGTGAGATCGTGATGATGTCATCACTCACTGACATATTGCACATGTGATGGTTGGCTGGCCGGGTCACACTCACACAGACACAAGACATCAGAGTCAGACATTACCTTCCTCCGCAGACGCAGCTCCCCGTCTGCTGTTGAATGGGAAGAGAAGGGCTGGAACTCCACAGTGATCAGCAGCTGCCAGCTGGTTTGCAGTAAGGGCCTGAGTCTGAGAGGAACACTGGAAGGAGCTGCAGATCAGCTGCTGCACTGGCCCCAGACACCCAACATCTTCCTTTGTTCTTTCTTCCTCCTCTCTGCTGCCCCTCCCTCAACTGAAGGATCATTCATGATGTGGCAGCATCCTACACAGAGTGCTGGCCTGTACTGCGCCCAGGTGCCCCTAGGTGGCAGTGCACCCTAGGCAGCTGCCTAGTTTGCCTAGTGGAAGCTCCAGCCCTGATAGTACTTTGGCTAATCTTTCTATGTGAGGTCTAAGTTTAGCTGTGAGGTTGGACAGACCACCGCTTC